TTCCATTGGGCCTCCGCTGAGCAATAAAACATGTTATGAGATTTATACCAGTTGGTTTCTGACCATTTTTTAAAAAAGAAACTAAAGTCACAGATTTCAGTTTACCAAAATATTTGCATAGGTATCCAATGCGCTTGTGTTACCTCTCAAATGAACTTTCAAGCCATCAGATGGCTGGTGTCATAGCTGATCACATGTGCAGCAGCATGGCACCTACATATCATGTGCAGCAGCATGGCACCTGTATATCAAAGAATGGCAGCTCCTTTGGCTGTAAAGGATAAGAGGGTTTAGTTCCCCGTTAAGGAGACATACACATTTTGAGATAATACAGAGGGTTGTTAAAAGACAATAAGCCTAAATGCAAATTAAATGTATATTTTGATACAGATATTAAAATATGCTTTAAATCTCAATACCTCTGTTGTCAAAAGGGGATGCTTAGCAAAGGATCATTGACTTTGACACCTTCCTTGCCAGTGGCAATCCCCAGTCCTGGCCCCATATGGGAACAAAAACGTGAGCATATAGGAGCTTTAAAGGGGCAGCGTACTTAAAACTGTTGTTTCAGCTTTTGCTAAATGCTGACAAGTTGATTCACCCTCTGGTTTATCTTACCTGTGGGGGCTCTGGTAGAAAGATCTGCCTTGTAAGCTTCTGGCTCTGTCCCCCAGTGTTACTCTTATACTTTAATGGACATCCAATCTCTCCTAGTCTATTCTCCAAAATATACAAAAAGGTAAAATTCAAGGGGAAAGATGAATACCCTCGAGTGACTGCAACTGATAGGCAGACCCGGATCAGAGACTATTGTCCCTAGTAGATGAACCAGTGCATGATTCATATTGCAAACATCTACCTGAAGCAAAGTATTAGTTTTGGGTGGACTGATGTTTTAAGTCTACATTTTAGAAATTAATTCATGTTCTGTAAGTGGTACTTTATTTTTGTATTAAATTCTCTTATCAATTCATGTCCTGTATTATATTGAGTAAAATAAAGTGGTAAAACTCTTTTATACAGAATAAAGGAGCATGGATTTTGTGTGTTCTAAAAGGACTAAGTGTGGGGTACAACAGACACATGTGAATTCGTGAATTCATGAGTTCTTATGCTCATGCTCTACCTTCCTTGCTTTTTAAACATGTATAACAATACAATTAAAGTAAGAAAAACATCTTACAGAAACATAAAGGAATCAACACTCTTGTTCTTACATACTGTATGTGTCAATGGTAAATTATACAGGTAAAGTGTTGACAAGAAATACAGTTAAATATATTCAAACCTTAGATTAAGAGTTGTGGTCTCCTGGGAACTACTTTGAAGTTAGGTCGTAAGTGGGAGGCGGGACAAGAGGTTCCAGGTCTTGTCAAAGCTCTTTAGGGATCCTCTAGTAGTGTAGGTAAGTTGGTGGAGATGAAAGACAAAGTTGATTACCTATTCCACCCAGGTAAAGTAGGAGAAAGAAGTCATTGAGTACCCTTAACATTTTTTTTTTTTTTTATGTGAGAGTTAATGGGAAGATCCCCCACTAGCCCTGAGAGGCATGCTTTGGAGGAATTTAAAGTGTTAGGTCACCTACAGAAAATAAAAATGTATAGGTGAACTGATATGGTAGGCCCTGTCCCAACCACCCCCAGTGGAAGCTGTGCAGTCAGTGCCCGCAGAGTCGGTCCAGGGTTTTGAAATCCCTGCTTTTCTCCCTCTTCTATGTGCAGTGCTTCCGGGATGGATCAGAGCGATTCACTGTAACACCGATTACCAGTCAGAATTGCTCTGGTCTGTCCCGGAAGCTCTTATGCTGTATCACAGTATTTCACTATAACACCGATTACCATTCAGAATTACTCTGGTCTGTCCCGGAAGCACTTTGCAGAGAAGAGGGAGAAGAGTGGGGCTTCAAATCCCGGAACCTGGCTCCATGAGCACTGACAGCACAGCTTCCCCAGAAGTAAGTGCAGCGAAACCCAGGGATGGGGAGGGTATACAGTGTTTAGTTCACATTTTATGTTTTTTCTGTGAAGGTGAACTAACACCTTAAATTGGGTAGGCCTAAGGCAGTTTTAATAAATCCATACACCTGCATCCAGAAAAGTTGTGTCTTGGGACAGGACCATATATTATGAAGAAAACCTGCTGCATGGCCACAAAGGTGAAAACAGAATGGAGACTGCCAAACTTTAAAATTATACAACTGCGTATGTCTGATGGTACAGTAGTTTACTTAGATGGGTTTGTCTTTGGAGGAGATCAAGCTGGGCATAGATAGGTAGGTAGAATTTCAAATGAAAACTCTTAGGAAAATAATGTTCTAACAAAGTTTAATTTTTCTAATCATTAGTGGGTCAAATCAACTTTCGTTTTTGACTGCAGTGACAAGAAAATTCGAAGAAACTTTTTCTGAAACGAGCGAATATCTGTGCATGTGGGTTTTGTTTGTTAAAGTCCATTCATTCCAAAATCAAACAAAAAATCTTTTGAACAACATTCACATGGATTGAGAATTTTCATACTAATTTTCCTCAGTGTCTTCCCAATTCTCCATCATTGGTTGTGGTATAATAACATACTACTGTTTGGGAGGTGAATTGGCTGCACACTCTGTGTTGATAATAGAATATTTTGACATTGGGAACGTCAAATGCGAGTTGCAGGGTTATAAAATTCTTAAAGTGGTTGTAAGGCTGAAGGTTTTTTGCCTTCATGCATTCTGTGCATGCAGGTAAAAAACCTTCTGTGTGTTGCTCCCCCCACAGCCCCCCCCAATACTCACCTGAGCTCCCTCTTGATCCAGTGGTGTGCATGGGAGCCTCAGCTGCCCCGGGTCTCTCTTTCCCCATTGGCTGAGATACAGCAGCAGGAGCCAATGGCTCCTACTGCTGTCAATTATAGCCAGTGAGCCAATGAGGAGAGAGCGGGGGGCGGACAAAGCCACGGCTCTGTGTCTTATGGTTGCTTGGAGCTGGGCCCAGGAGCAAGCATGCACCAGTGCCCCCATAGCAAGTGACTTGATTAAGGGGAGGAGCCAGGAGCGCCGGCAGGGAACTCGAGAGGAGGATCCGGGGCTACACTGTGCAAAACTATTACATAGAGTGGGTAAATATATATTTTTTTATTTAAACAAACCTTTATAATCACTTTAGGTTTTCCCTCATGAAATAATTGATGTATGAACTTAAGGTCCAAGGAAAACTAATATCCTGCACTTGGTACTCAAAGGAATTCAGGAAGAAGTGGCTATGTTCTGTATATATTATTTATGGAGTAAATCCAGTTAGTAGAGTATATTGAAGTGTTAATGTATTGTAGGAACTTGATGGGGGTAGTAATAAGAGAGGTATCCTGTATTTTCCCTGTAATTTGTCAGTATACAGATGAAGACATAGTGTCAGGCTTTGTCACTTTACAAGCATTATCTCACTGGTCTGAAGCAATCATGTATGCTGATTAAATGTGTGGCCAGATAGTAAGTTTAAATTCATTATTTGCTCTAAATTCAATAACATTCATGCATCAGCAAGTAAAATTTTTTTATAACAATGATTGGGATATTTGAATATTTCTGATACATTTTTTTTGTTGGCCTACTGTTCTATGTAAACTCCTGCTGGAGGCAATAGAAAGCAACAAAATTGTAGCAATTGTAACAGTTTTGTTCTGTGGAAGTAGCTGACTGTCAATTATGTGCTAGAAAATATTCGTGACTATGCCATCTCAGTATTATATTTTCTATTCCTGTAATCCCCTGAAACATTTACCTATTTGTCCATGATTTTAATTCAAACCTTTTTTAATGTAAACTAGCTTAAATAATGTAACTTGGGTATAGTGGTTGATAAAGATACAGCTAAAGTTTTTTTTTTTTGGTTGATTTTTAGGGAACACATAATAATTTACTGTCACCTGTTTAGGTTTCATTTTTTGAAGAAGAGCGAAGCATATTAAGTAATCACACAAGTCCTTGGATACCTACCTTACATTATGCCTTTCAAAATAAAGAGCATCTTTATCTGGTAAGTGACATATTATGTTACTGATATTCTTAATATTTTAATAGTGCCCTCATAATATTATTTCTGAAAATGAATGCAATATTAACATGGCTGAACTGTACAAAATGTACCTGAGAAACTAGAATATTCAGATAAGTTTTAGACTTAATACTTACGATGTTAAGGGCTTATTTACCCTTGGTCACTGAGATAACAAGCACTAAAATGGGCAGGTTACAGCAATGCACTGCTCATGTGCTTTGTAGTGCCACTCGTGAATAGCACCCCAACACCCTGCGCTCACATACAGTGCTTGTAGTGCATTGCATTGCTGAAAAGGAGTCAAGCACATCTTTTGTTGCGGTTTGTTGACAGCCCATTAATAATAAATGGACTGACTTACCACAACACACATTAACACGTGTGTTTGCGTTATTAGTTGCAAGGGAATCCCTTACAGTATGTGTGAATTGGCTCTAAAACTTAGGGCTGGACAAATTATAGCGATCAGGTAGCTGGTTTGTCTTCTTAATTACAGCTGTCTCCTTTTTTGGAGCGTCATCTATAGTTGTCCATAAGTGCACATTTTCCCTGGGCCCTTATACTGCATATTGGTTCCTATATTCTACTGGTCAGTCTTAATCTGTTATGATTAAGTCAACCATATACCGTATTTTTCGCTCCATAAGACGCACTTTTTTCCCCCCAAAAAAGGGGGGAAATGTGAGTGCGTCTTATGGAGCGAATATGGAGCGGCCGGTCCAGTATTTCCACCGCCACCGTGGCAGAATACAGGGCCGGCCGCTCAGCTCTGCAGTGGGACCTTACCTGTTCCTCTATCTAGCGCCGTGCTGTCTTCCCGGCTTCTGTAGTGTGGGCGCTCGGCTTGACAGCCAGGTGCCCAGTGCGTATGCGCGAGAAGCAGTGCGCTTTGTGAATGGTAAGGCGGCACCTGGGACACATGACAGGTCTCAGAAGCCGCCGGACCAATCACAAAGCGCAGACTGGGTACCTGGCTGTCAAGCCGAGCGCCCACACTACAGAAGCCGGGAAGACAGCGCAGCGCTGGATAGAGGAACAGGTAAGGTCCCACTGCAGAGCGGACACTAACCAAAGAACAACTCCGCGGAAGTAAGAGCAGGTACCTGTCAAATTCAGGTACCCGTTCCCCCCCCCCCCCCCCAAAGGTCAGCAGTCATCTCCTGTACTGTCCGCAGTCTCTGGTCATCTCCTGTACTGTCCGCAGTCTCTGGTCATCTCCTGTACTGTCTGCAGTCTCTGGTCATCTCCTGTACTGTCTGCAGTCTCTGGTCATCTGTGCTGTCCGCAGTCTCTGGTCATCTCCTGTACTGTCTGCAGTCTCTGGTCATCTCCTGTACTGTCTGCAGTCTCTGGTCATCTCCTGTACTGTCTGCAGTCTCTGGTCATCTCCTGTACTGTCTGCAGTCTCTGGTCATCTCCTGTGCTGTCCGCAGTCTCTGGTCATCTCCTGTACTATGCCCGCAGTCTCTGGTTATCTCCTGTACTGTGTCCGCAGTCTCTGATCATCTCCTGTACTGTGTCCGCAGTCTCTGATCATCTCCTGTACTGTGTCCGCAGTCTCTGGTCATCTCCTGTACTGTGTCTGCAGTCTCTGGTCATCTCCTGTACTGTGTCTGCAGTCTCTGGTCATCTCCTGTACTGTATCTGCAGTCTCTGGTCATTTCCTGTACTGTGTCCGCAGTCTCTGGTCATCTCCTGTACTGTGTCCGCAGTCTCTGGTCATCTCCTGTACTGTGTCCGCAGTCTCTGGTCATCTCCTGTACTGTGTCCGCAGTCTCTGGTCATCTCCTGTACTGTGTCCGCAGTCTCTGGTCATCTCCTGTACTGTGTCCGCAGTCTCTGGTCATCTCCTGTACTGTGTCCGCAGTCTCTGGCCATCTCCTGTACTGTGTCCGCAGTCTCTGGCCATCTCCTGTAGTATGTCAGCAGTCTCTGGTCATCTCCTGTACTGTGTCCGCAGTCTCTGGTCATCTCCTGTACTATGTCAGCAGTCTCTGGTCATCTCCTGTACTATGTCCGCAGTCTCTGGTCATCTCCTGTACTATGTCCGCAGTCTCTGGTCATCTCCTGTACTGTGTCCGCAGTCTCTGGTCATCTCCTGTACTATGTCTGCAGTCCATTGGTTTAGAATATTTTTTTTCCTCTTTTCTGCCTCTAAAACCTAGGTGCGTCTTATGGAGCGAAAAATACGATAATTAATTTAGGATAATACTTGTTTATTTTCATTGTCCAGGATTAAATTTATAATCACCCATAACATGTTTACAGTGGATATAAAATTAATGTTACCAACACTATATATTATAGTATTACCCCTGCTTTTTCACTAGCATTTGATGGTGTACCATAGTATTAAATGTAACAGAAATATGGAGGCAATAATATGTGCCTTTATCCCCACATGGAAGAAAAATATATTTTCAAAATATTCTTCCCAAATATATTGAATTTATATAATTGAAATACTACAATTTTGGCCATATTCTATCTATCTATCTATCTATCTATCTATCTCTATCTATCTATCTATCTATCTATCTATCTATCTATCTATCTCTCTATCTACTGTTTGTTGAAATGCATTTTTTATATATTACAAAACATATGAAAAATATTTTTTAGAATATATATTTTTTTAAATATATTCTTCAGATTTTTTTTTTTTACATATAAAAAAAGTCATTTTAACATGTATTTTTTATTCTAACATATATTTTTACATGTCTTTGTAAATGCATTCCAAAAATGTAGATTAAATGTATTTTTAAAGACATACAGTATATTTGAAAATGTATTATTTAAAAAAAAAAAATATATATATATATATATATATTTTGAATACAGCCATAATTGTAATATTTCAAATATATGTCAATATATTTGGGAAGAATATTTTAAAAATATATTTAAAATATATTTTTCTTCCATGTGGATCTTTTTATGAATATGGCATTGAATATTATTTTCCAAGGCATGATAATAATCGTTTAAATATTTCACAGGTCATGCAGTACCAGCCAGGGGGAGATATGCTGTCTTTATTAAACCGTTATGATGAACAGTTTGATGAAAGTATGGCTCAGTTTTACCTGGCAGAAATAGTTCTGGCTATTTATAGCGTTCATCAGCTGGGTTATGTACACAGGTGAGTTTAATGATGAGCTAATCGGGCTGCGGTTTTTATTTTCTTGATTGTCCTTTGAGGGACACAGATATTCAGGAACTGTTGCCTACGAAAGATTGGGATATTGGAAAACAAAAAAAACCCATATGCTAGCCCCTGTATAGCACCTCCTCTACCCAGATGGTTTTCATTTTTTGCTAGTGTCTTAGGAGTTTGGATGTTTTTTCTTCATCTCCTCTAAGAAATGTCTAACTAACTTTAGTTGCCTTTTAACCTCATGGTATTTTTACTTGATGACTTCAGTCAGGATTCCTGTTACACTCCCCAAGAATAGTGCTGTGCTGCCCCCTAGTGACCCAAAAATAAACTAATAAATAATCACCTTCCTGAGCCTCAAACCCAATGTGTAACTGAATAAGTCTGGGAAAAAATAAACCATACTCAAGTAGCCATAAACACCTGGCCAACCTATAATAAACACCTGGCTGAGCTAAAGAATAAAGTGTAAAAAAAACAACAAGAACAGTAAAATATCTGAAATGTATATCAAAAATAAAACATGATCACAATAGTAAACACCTTACCGAGCTGTAATAAACACCCGGCTGAGCTGAAGCATAAAGAGGATACCTGCTTCACCCATTCAGTCTTGTTTTTGTGAAGAAAAAAAAATTGATTCAGTTTATCCATCTTCCGTTTACTTCTGTTACGCTTATATCTGTTTTTCATCTGTTTTACATCCATTTTTTAACCACGTCATGTCCAGACACTTTTACCCCCTTCTTGTCCAGGTCAATTTTCAGCTTTTAGTGCTGTCACACTTTGAATGACAATTGTGCGGTCATGCAACACTGTAGCCATATGAAATTTTTTAGCATTTTTGTGAGACAGATAAAACTTTATTTTGGTGGTATTTATTCACCACTGGATTTTGAAAAAAAGGATTTTTCTTTATAAACTTTTGTAAATAATTAATCTTTCTTCATAAATCTTGGTCAAAATGTATTCAGTTATCTTTTTAGTAAAAAAAATAACCCAAATTAGTTTATAACCAAAAATTATAATTTTTCCAAACCTTTATGTTACATTTTTATTTTATTTTTTTTATATTATTTTTTTTTAACATACTGTCACCCTAGCAATACAGTGTCACCATAGTGGCACTGTACTACTTGGGGGGGATGAAGATTTTTTTTTTTTTTTTTACATTGATTGATTGCTTTTACACCCATAAAGGCTGTAAAAGCAATCATTTCTCCTTCTCTCTGTCTGAATTATTGCAGCCATTGAGAAATACTGTGTGAGCAGTGATTGGTCACAGCTTGTCACATGGTACAAGGCTGTTGTGAATAGCCTTTTACCATGTGATCTCTGTGATCATTCACAGATTTCACACATAGTAAGCAATAATGTCAAAAGTGACATCCTGCTTTTACACCTATTCATGTGATCACTGATTGACCAATCAGTGATCACATGATCGGGCCTTCACACAGAGGTCCCGTACAGCGATTGGTGTTCTGCTGTGTCCTTGGGACACAGCGGGCACCAAAACGCAGTGCCGTGCGCTTCCAGGGACCACAGTCTAAAATGATGGGCGCCGTTTATGAAAGGCAACCGGCCCCTGCACTGTGGTTAACTGGAACAAAAATGCAGACATTTTTCCGTTTTAAAAACGGATCTTAATGGAAGTGGAAGAAAAACGAATGTAAATGGACGATGTCCATTTCCATTCATTTGCCCATAGGAATGCATTGCTGTCCGTCTTTGATCCGTCAATAGATGGATGAAAACAGACAGACAGAATGTCCATGTGAAAGGGGCCTTAGTGCTTTGTGGAAGCAGCAAATCTTCCCTAGGACACACAATGGACAGTCCCGCTGCCACTGCTGACCTCAGCCCATACTTCCCTAGTAGTCCAGGTGGCATCTCCTGAAGGAAACAGACTGGCAGAGAGTTGTTTCAGACTTTATAGATGCAGTGGATTCTACCCTGTACCTGGAGGATCAATGTTCTGTTCCAAGCCTTAAGTCTTTTAGAGCTCCTACAGCTGCAAAGACCTTCCTGCTACATCCGCTGTTTGACTCCTTCCTCTGTGAGGATTGGAAACAGCCTTAAAGTTCCTGGGTTTTACCCAGTGTATTTGATCTGTTTCCCTTTGAGTAGGAATGTATTATTTGGTGCCATGGATGCACCTGTGATCCATCTGAACAGACAAACCAAGAGAGTGGATTGTGTGCTTACCTTTTTAAGGATTTCACTGACAGGCAGGTGAACTCCTTCCAAAAATCTGAGTTTTCTTTAATCGCTTCCATACCGGGCACTTTTACCCCCTTCCTGCCCAGGCCAATTTTCACGTTTCAGCACTCTCACACTTTGAATGACAATTGCGTGGTCATACAACACTGTACCCAAACTACAATGTTATAATTTTCTTCACACAACTAGAGCTTTCTTTTGGTGGTATTGAATCACCGCTGGGGTTTTTATTTTTTGCTAAATTAACAAAAAAAGGCCAAAAATCTTGAAAATAACCCAAATTAGTATTTATTATTTAGCCTGTAGGAAAGTTATAGAGTTCACAAACTATGGGATATATCTGAATATTGATCAATCCTGAAGTTCTGACAACCAAACTAATTTCTTGAGATCCAAGAAAATCAGAATAGTACAGATATCCCCCAAATGACCCCTTTTTGCAAGGTAGACAGTCCGACAGATTTCATAACAGGCATGGCGAGTTTTTTGAAGTTTTTTTAAATTTTTTTGTCATAATTTTTTGGAAATGAAGAAATAAAAAAATTATTTTCACTATTTTTTTTTTTTTTTTTACATACTGTCACCAGTGCAGTACAGTGTCATCATATAACTGGCATGGCGGTGATCAGGGACACTGACTGGTGACAGTATGAAAAAAAAATTGATAATTTTTTTTTATTATTTTTTTTTATTACATTTTTTTCTCTTCTTTTTTTTAAGATTTTTTTTTCATATTTCACTATGACCAAAGTAGTATAATGTTACCATAGTTACATTTTACTACTTTGGGTTAGTGATCTATATTTTTTTTTTTTTTACACAATTTGCTTATAGCAAACAATTACTTTGCTAAAAGCAAGCATTTACCTGAATGACATCGATTCATTCAGGTTTTTTTTTTTTTTCTTAACTGGCCACAGCTAATCATATGACACAGCTAGGCTGTGATTGGCCCAGCTTGTGCATGTGATCGCTGTGACCATTCACAGCTAGAACACTTGTATACAATGGATGGCATGATAGGAAGCCATCCATTGTATACAACTGTCATGTGACCTGCTGTGATTGGTCACAGCAGGTCACATGGTACTGGCAACAGGGCCGGTACACAGATCTGTCATCGGCCGTGTCTGAGGTACACGGCCGGTGACAGATCATGCCGCTGTGCGGCTCTGCTGGCATGCAAACTGCGCATGCCTGAAAGGGTGCCATATGGCGTCCACCCGGAGGGATGAGGGTTTTTTGCTGGCCACCATTCGGCCATAGGGACCGGTTAAAGCGGAATTGAAAAAAAAAAAAAAAAGGTTTACATTGGGCCCCAGGAGCTTTTAGCAATAATGTACTAATATGCACATTATGTACTAATATGCACATTATGACAGACTTACCTGGCTAGTGATCCCCTTCAGTGCTGCACTGTTATTCTTCCTCTTGGTCTGGCCTGAGATAATGTCACTCCCACGCGTGCACACTGGAGTCACATCGCAGGTCTGTGCCGTAAGGCTGCACATCTGTGGTTTAGTAAACTCGGATGACTGACAAGGATGGGCGATGACAGACAGGGAGAAGGTTTAAAACAATCCCACCTGTCTTTGTTTTGGTTTTAATTCCACTGTAAATGGTCTGTCTTGTATTGATGTTAACCTTGATATGCCACACTAGGCCTGAATAGGTGGATTTCCTTAAAGTGGAAGAAAAAGTCTAACTCTACTTAGACTGAATGAGTACAAAGCTCCCTGTGAATGGCTGTGCAGCACTCGGCTTTATTTTTGTTCCAGGAGT